TACTTCTAAGTAGTTCTACCTGGACCCTTAGAAACCTGCAATTGGTTCGGTGTTTCTGCTTTGACTTCCATTGATTTCCTGATATACGTCCTGAAGAAGGTAGGTTCGTTCGGGTCCAGGTAAACCCGAAGTTCAGCTGTCGCCACAAGGAACCCGCCGACATTGGAAGTCAGACGATTCTTGGAGGCTCGTTCAGTAACGGAATGGGATTGTAGGGTTGAGGTGGGTTGACTTGGCAGAACAACAACGAACATGTTTAAAGGTCCTCCAAGAACAACCCATTCCAAGTGCTGTAACGAGCTTGCTTGAAGATTCTGTTGGGATTTCGGGAGATCATGGATCAGTTGCGAACGAAAGGCGATTGCAATTGGTTCGAGTGGTCTCGTAGGATTCAGATCTGCTTGAGGTTTTCATTCCGTTACAGGGGCTGTGCGGGTGTTGTGGGGTTAGGGTTGTGGTGTGCGGTCTGGGTTTGGGGTTTACTGAAAGGCTCATGGAACTTAGTAAGTAAGGTTATATTTAGGTTATAATTAGGATAACCGCACTTAGGGGACTTATAACCCCAACTATAACCTACTTACTAAGTGCCACGATCCATTAAGTAGGACCTAGCACTCATGCAGACCAGCGGGAGCCCTGGAACTACAACCCAGGATGCAACGCAATGCTTATCTTAGGGGTACTTAGAAATATTTTTTAATTTTTGGTTATTATAATCCCTAAGACACAGCTAAGATTATAATTATTGCTAGGGTTCTAAGTTCAGTATAGTTATGGTTTTTGGAATCCCCAAGCCTTTGCTACCCCAAGCCCGTCGTCAAAAGCTTAACCCCATAAGTCTTGAACCCTCAGCGGTATAGCTCTGAAATGAGTCCACTATCCTGAAACTAAGCAGCATACGTTGAAATTAGAAGGGTGCCTATTATACTTCCTAGTATTATTATTACTAATATCATTATTATTATGATGATGATTACTTCTTATTATTGTCAGATGATGATTTTTTCTACTATAAGTGTTATCATTCGTATTATAATGGTGATTACTGGGTTTTATATAAAATATTATTATGATTTAGGGTATGTCCTCGGATACAGAGGCCATGAAGCAGGAGTCGGAGAAATGCCAGCTGTCAGAGGCCTCCTGCTGGTGGAGACGGGCTTCGGGATCCATACGGACCTGGGAGTTTTCGAAAATAGGGGACCCTAGGGCTCCTTTAAAGGGTTCCTTAAAGGGATCTATAAAGGTTCCATAAAGGGTTTAGGGTTTAGGGTTATGGGAGTTTCCGAAAATAGTCCCCTAATATCGTACCCTACATAGTAGGATCCTTATTATAAGGACCCCCAGACCCCCAGATAAGGTACCCCTAATTTCGGAATACTTTGCGGGAAGGGGGAGGGGGTAATTATGCGATTTACAGTTTGTTGTTCAGGACGTGGAGTCTTTGAGCATTTGGGGGTTAGCTTCTGCAATCGTGTTTATAGGGCTTTCCTAGGGTTTTTGAACGTATGTTTATGGGCTTCTTGGATGGTGTTTGTAGAGGTTTAGGGTTCAGTGTTCAGTCATTAACTGGGGCTGCGGTGTCTTTCGGACTTCAGGCACTTACGGCCTAGGCCGATGTGCCTACGAATCTCACTTTAGCAAAGTCCATCTTCAGGAACTTCGAGAGTTGTTTGTAGGATACTCTGGCAAGCTCCACAAGGCAGGCCATGTTTGTAGGGACAAGTTGCATACCTCGGCCTGTGGTGAGCATGTCTCTGTAGCCGGGAAAGGTCTGCGACATGTCCCGAAGGGGACTCAGTAGTTCAGTCTACATGCCTTAAACCGTATAAGGCCCTGGAAGACTAAGAGTCGAAACTTATTGTGGCTGATGAAAATGCCGCGGCAGATAAGCAGTCTCCGTCTTGCAAATGCGCAGATAAGCAGTTTCTGTCTTGCAAATGCTTCATGCCTTATGTGTAGTACGATGGGAAGGTTGTATGTAATTTGACATGTATGTTTCTATCTAGGGCGTAGATGCACAAGCTGCTTCGCCCTACCATGCCCTAAACCCTAGAGGGTGATATGCCTGGTCTAGGAACCTCAGATCCAAACCTTTGTTTAAGGGAGGAAAAAGGAGATCAGCAACACGAAGCAAGTAACAAGCCACGATAGGCAACGACAGAAAGAATACCAGCAAAAAACATGCCCTTGATGACTCAACCCTAAACCCTGCTCTACTTGGAGGATCATGGGACTTAGTAACTATAGTAATAAGTCCCTTAATTGGGGTTATAAGTAAAGTTACCCCAATAATAACCCTAGTTACTAAGTCCCATGATCCTTTAAGTACACCCTGCACTACAAAATACGAGCTCAGAGGCCGAGCTCCGGGGCTTCGTGGCAGAGGCGGAGATCGATCAGCGCGGGGAAGTCGCTTATGCGCTGCACCCGGAGTGCCGGGTTCAGGGATTAAGGTTTAGCTTTAGGGTCCACGGTTTACTATAAGTTTAAGGTTTAGGGATTAAGTTTTAGGTTTAGGGTCCAAGGTTTACTGTAGGTTTTGGAGATACTGTCAACAAGGTTGTTTCAACCTGCATGGTCTTTCCGTCGCACCGGGGGAGAAACAGCACTATTATGACTACATCTGTTTTAGTTCTACTACTACTTCTTCTACTACTGCTACTACTCCTACTACTCCTACTACTCCTACTACTCCTACTACTACTACTACTACTACTACTACTACTACTACTACTACTACCACTACCACTACCACTACCACTACCACTACTCCTACTACTGCTACTGCTACTGCTACTGCTACTGCTACTGCTACTACTGCTACTACTGCTGCTACTGCTACTGCTGCTACTGCTGCTACTGCTGCTACTGCTCCTGCTCCTGCTCCTGCTCCTGCTCCTGCTCCTGCTCCTGCTGCTGCTGTTGCTGCCACTGCTACTGCTACACTACGACGATGATGATCGAACACCGGTCATGGCGGCTCAGCCGCCGTACTTAAAGTGCGCCAAGGATGCTGAGCGAACTCACCTTCAGTGTGTGCTGAAGTGAAGTACTACGACGACGACGGCCACCACTACGACTACTTCTGTTACTACGTTTAATGGGGTCATGACTCAGGTCTGCACTACCAAGCGGCCTCTAGAAGCAAACGGGATCCATTTCTCCCTCAGTTCGGTTTAAAACGGAACCCCGAAAGAACCAGTGAATTTGGCCAGTAAAGCCTTCTGGAATATTTGGAGAACATACAACAAGTTCCATCTGTTTACCCCAAAACCTCCTCCGGTGGATCACATCAAGACCCTGAAACCCTAAGTCTAAACCCCAAACCCCAAACCTTAAGCACCTTCAACCCGAAACCCCTAAACCCCAAACCGTAGATTAAAAAGCAAAACCAAGCTCGACAGCCCCCGGAGCTCCTCAGGTGGATCACATCAAGACCTGGACCCCGATCCTCTTTGAACTGCGAAAGCCGTGGACTCGAGCCATTACCGTCCCTAAGGGTCCGCACACTATGAAGGGTTCCATCAATACTTCCTTTAAGGGTTCGATACGGGCACTAAAAGGATAGGGAGTTTAGGGTTTATGACGCTTCTTCGGGTTCTTGTTTGCCGAGATGCTGCGGTCTTAGGCTTTAAGCTGTTGGTGTTGAGGACTTAAGGGTTCTTGGTGTTTTGATCTTCGGGGTGTTTAGGGTTCATTGCTCTGGGGCGCATTCGTGTTACGGTTGAGGTCTTTAGGGATTTTCGGGTCTTTGGCTACGGGTTGAGGGTCTCAGGGTTTTTGCTTTCTTGATCTTGGGTTCGGGGGCTTTACGAAATCAGGTTGTGGCCGGTTGAGAAGTGCAGGGCGTAGCGGCAGCAGTTGAAAAACCCCTCTTTTCACTTTTCGCGCCCTAAACCCTGAACCCACCTTTCACGGCCTTTCCGGGGGCCAGCTCCGCTGCTGGCAGCGCCGGTTCACAGACATCGGCCGCCCCGCCGGGTCCAGCACCGGAAGAGAAAGTGCATGTGCCATCCTCCAGGGCGGCTGTCAACTATCAAGGTCTTGTCACGACCACGCAGCTCCTTGACTACAGCGAGAACCCCTCTCCGGAGCAAGAGGCCAACCTGCTCCCCAAGCGCGATCAGATCATCCAGATCTGTCAATCAGATCAGATGCTGGAATGGATCCATTCCCTGGCCACGATCTCCATCATGAGGGAACCGGCCATTACAGGAGGTCTGACGGCTTCTGAGCAAGTTATTATGTGGAGCAACAGAATCGCGGCCCTTGGCCCCAAACCCCGAACCCTAAACCCTGAACCATAACCCTAAACCCTGAACCCTAAACCCTAATCCCAAAAAGAAAGATCCCGGAACTCCTCATTACCCATACTATTTTCGGGGTTCCTTAGTATATTTGCTTAATATAGGGGCTTTCATAGGTTCCTTGAAAAGGGGCTTTTTAGAGCTATTACAAGGATTTAGTAGTAGGGCCTCAATAATTATCTATACTCTTTTGGGGGTTCCTTAGCATATTTATAGTAGAATGGGCCCCAAAACCCTATTACCTATTCTAATTCTGAAGGCCCCTAATAGGTTCCAACCCCGGAACTTCTCAGCCTCTGTTCCGAAAGGCTCTCGAGCCGAACGTGTAGTATTGAGTCCTCTGGAAAATGGAGGGTTTAGGATTTAGGGTTTAGGACTCAGGGTTTAGGGTTCAGGGTTAGCAAAACCCTGGTATTTTGTAGTATGGTACGGTATATCTAATGCTAAGCCCTAAACCCATCCTCCGCGACAGCTGAGAGTTGTACTTAAAAGGCTCATGGGACTTAGTAAGTAAGGTTATAAGTAGGTTATACTTAGGATAACCCACTTAGGGGACTTGTAACCCCAATTATAACCTACTTACTAAGTGCCATGATCCTTTAAGGACTCTTTCTTGAGCCCGAATCCTGCGCCCACCTGCTCAGAGGACACTCCGCAGCCATGTAAGCTCCGTCAGCCACTTGTGGCGCAATGATGGGGACCGTAACATGGGCAGCCAGGCGGGCGTTGCGCTGACATGTCAGGGTGGAGCACTTATCAGTCGTAGAGTTTATTTAGTATACTACAGTATATCGTAGTATATCAGAGTATAGTATATGGTATGTTATAGTACACTGCAGTATATCATAGTATATCAGAGTATATTATAGTATATTACAGAGTTTGGAGCAAAAGGTCGGGAGTTCTAGCGCTTAGAGCTTTGCAATCAGAGTTCTGACGGCACGTTGAAGTTTGATCTTCGTCGGTCTCTTCCGAGTAGTTCATAGCGGCTTCAGACCTGGGCAGGGGCCCTGGCTCCGGTTCCTGATTCGCCCACACGCATGGGCGAGGGGCTCTTAAATTCTGAGCAGATCGCAATCGGGGCATCTCTTTTAGGGCTGTTTGTAATCGACGTCATACAATGTAGGCCAGCAACAATACCGGCACAAAGAATCATCATTGCAACAGCACAGCCCCTAAGATCCACCGCCAGAAAACCCAGAAGTCCCGAAAACAGCCTTCGATTTTTCTTACCGTCGAAGACTCGAGCACAACCTTGCGTTGGTTAAGGCTCGGCCGGGGGGGGGGGGGGCGAAGCCCGAGACCTGCCAAAAATCGCGAAAAAATACATGCAAAGCCATTCTAGAGAAAAGCAAACCTTAAACTGAACAAGAACACGAAACCGGTCGTCACAGAGCAGGCGGATGATGGAAGTTGTACAGACTGCTCCTGACCTTCGACAAACGAAGGACCTTGGGTTGCGATTTGGGTTCCTTATTGGCTGTAAACTCAACTTTTCAACTTTTGAGGTTCTGATAAAATAGTCGATTCTGAAAGTTTCAACTTGTATTCCCCTGGGTTTTGGGCCAGTGAGGTTCTTAGGAGCTTCAGGGATTGAAAGGTCGGATTCAGTTGGCGTTCCTTCTGGTTTTAGGAGTTTTTGCTTAAGGTTGTATGGAGTTTTACCGGGTTTCTTTGGGGTTTTGTAGGATTGCAAAAGATCTGTAGCAGGATGTTGTGGGGTTCAGCATGGTTAGGTTCAGGGCTTGGGGTTTGCAGGGGTTGTGGTTTGGGTCCTGGGGTTTTGAGTTAGGGATCTTGATCTTGCAAAACCCTCAACCAATATACCCTAAACCATAAACCCCAAACCGTAAACCCCAAACCCTAAACCCCAAACCCAGGGTTAGGATTGAAGGCAGAACCCGAGGCCCCTCGGCCCGACCCCGAGAGTCTTTAGGGTTTGGGGATTTAATTCCTAGGTAGGGCTTTGGGACATTTCATGTTTGCTCTTATTGGGCTTAAGAGGATCTTACCTACTAATATTCTTCAAAGGCTTTCAAAGCACCTCCTAGATTCAGAATATTCCTGGAAACTGTGAATACAAAGAGGGCTTCTTGGCATGATTTAAGGGATGATCTCAACCACGGGGGCTATTCTGTCTGGGTAAACCCCTAAACCCTAAACCCTAAACCCTAAACCCTAAACCCTAAACCCTAAACCCAGAACTGACTTTAAACCCGATCAGGTTTCGTCCATGGTTGTGCGTGGGGTTCCCGGGGTTCTGCACTTGGAGGTGCCCAGAGACTCCTTTATATCCTTTAATTAAGGAAGATACCTTAAATTATAGTAGGATCCCTAATATTATGATTTAGGGTATACTCCTTAATTAAGGGATATTCGAGTCTCTGGGTGAGCTGCAGGGGTTTCAGGGCTGAGTGCTTTCGGTTGGGATGTTGGGAGCATGTTCCGAGGCTACCTCCTCGTCTTGCTCGGGTGAAGGGTAACACCACAGTCGGAAACCGGAACGGAACCCCAACTCCTCGGAAAGTCACGCCTGCGATCGGGGTTCCTTATTATATTTATAGTATAATTGGCCCCGAAATCTTATTCTGGCCCCTATATTTCCCTTCTTTCTGGGGTTTGTTATGGGGCGGATATCGGAAGTATCCTCGACGCTTGCTGCAACCCTGTCCATGCTAAATACGGCAGGGCACCTTGGGAGTCAGCAACGTCAGATGCTTCGGAACGGAGCGCAGAGGGCAACATGCAAGTCCTTCGACGAGTGGACACTTGATTCGGATCCTCGGCCTGATGTCCTTTGCCTGGGTTGTGCTCAGGTCTGGGCCCAAAGGCAGCAAGACAAGTGCTGGCTTGAGTACCCTTTTCCTTGGGGTTTGTTTGCGAAGCTGCCAGGGTACTACAACTCCTACTTATATTGCTGCACATGTGTACGGCTTCTGCAGCCACTTCCGTGTTGGACGACGTGGGTGTGGCTCCCGTCCTTGCTGCAGTGGCAGCATGCCGCAAAGCGTTACAGGACACCTTCGCTCCCAGGAATTTCGGGAGGACAAGGCATGGCTGCAGGCAAACCCAGGACCCGGAGACTCCAATGTCCCTTGATTAAGGAATATTCCTTTAATCATATTAGGGATCCTACTATAATTTAAGGTATAATCCTTGGATACCCCCAAACCCTATTCTAACTATTAAGGCCCCTACAGTGGGGTTTGCTGGGGCTTCAGGGTTGTCAGAGTTCGGGGTACCAGGCTCGGGATTTAGACGAGACTTACAGTTCGCGAGGATATTGTTCTATGCCATGTTCCAGCATCTTCGGGCGCCAAGGCACAGTGGGCGCGTGGTGATACGGTGTGTGTTACCTAGCAGATCCTTCAGAATCTAAGCATCATTCCCGAACCCTAGACCCAAAACTGCATTGCTAACGGGAGTTCCTAAACACCGGCACCTAAACCCCTAAGCCGTCAAGCCCATTACAATCCTGTACCTACTGTGGTACAAGTAGTATTGTAGAAGGTGGACTGATCTTCTTGAGGTGCGACAACAACCACGAACTTGATAATACGTAGGGGCCTGGATAAGTAGTTGCCTATATTCCTAATTTCATACTTACAGCATAATCGGCCCCAAAACCTTATTCTAATTATTGAGGCCCCTGTATTACCACCATAGCCCTGTTTGGAATAGCAAGGTCCTTGCGTTGAAGGCGAGTTCTGGTGGTCCTCAGTCGTTGAGCTGTCGTCGGGCAATGTAGAGTGCGCACGGGCATCCCGAATGCACAGGGTCCTCGCTGAAGGAGTTTAGGGTTTAGGGTTTGAGCAGTCTTGAAATCGTAAGGAGAGTTACAGAACATGCGGAAGATTCCCGCGAGCTAAAGGAGCATTGGGCCCTAAATCTTAGACAATGAAACCCTAAACCCAAAAGGGGTGAGGGGGGAGGTAGAAGCCGAGTTCCTAAAGTCAGGCACGAAAAGCTGAGGTGACACTCCTCAGCCTGCAAGACGCCAGCTCCCATGTCCCTCGTCACCAGAGAAGCGACAAGTAAAGCAATAGACATGATGATGATAGTACCAGCAACAGAAATATTTTTTACAAGAGCCTGGAAAGCCAGAAGGGCAACACAGCGCACTTCAGGAGCCATCGGAAACAAACATCCTCAACAAAGAAGCCGACACCCTTGAACCCGCTAAATCCAAAGCCCTAAAGCCTAGGCCATCGAGAAGTGCGAAAGGAATCCTAAATTCAAAGCAGACGGAACCCAACAAGGAGCTCAAGAAAGAATCCAAAAAAGGAACTCAAAATGAACTTCAAAAAGAAACCCCAGAAAGGAACTCAAGCAGGAACCCCCAAAAAAAAACTGCGGAAGGCCTGCCCCAAGCTCAGCAAAGACATGATCCGCAGAGCGAGCCATACAGCACAGGAGAGCGAAGAGCCGAAGATTTTGGGCCGTTTTGGGTTTGGGGCTTTACGGTTTAGGGTTTCACGGAATGTGGAGTTTAAGATTTCGCGCTTCAGTGTTTTACGCGAGCATCTCCCAAGACTTCTCGGAGGCTTAGGCTGCTTTTTTGGGGGATGTAGGCTCAAGGGTGTACTTGGAGGGTCGGGGGGGACTTAGTAAGTAGGTAGTAAGTAGACTTATAAGTACCCATAAAGGGACCCTCATTGGGGTTGTGGTACTTATAAGTCTAGTCCCCCGGCCCTCCAAGTAGAGGGTTGGATACAATTTGGAGATGGACTTAGAGCACAGGTATGGTGGTACTTAAAGCTATGCAATGCAAGTTAAGATTTTACATGTCTAGGGTCAGCAAGACCTCGAAATTTCAAGCTTGCTTTGGAGCTTTGATTTCCTGCTGTCGCCTCATCGTCTGGATGTCCTGATACGGTTGATGATAGAAGTCCTGCATTACCCACAATAAGGAATATACCATAGTCTAGGGTCATTCAGGTAATGCAGGATCTATATCACCAACGGCATTATACCATACCCCAACAATCCTTTTCGAGCCTTTGGAGGCCCTACCTTAAAGGCTTCGGGGTTGAAGGCTTACGACTTGCAACTCCCGGGCGAAAGGGTCAGATGACTAGGATTCTAATATAGGGGCTTTAATAATTGATTAGTAAAGGGCTTGGGGTCATATTCTGCTCAAAATCATAATACGGAACTCCCCAAAACCCTGTTCTAATGACTAAAGCTCCCTCAAACCCCAAATAACCTACCAATTGAGGGACTTATATAAAGAAATCATATTAGGCGGCCCGAGAAAGGTAGGTTATTTCGGATCCAGGTCTACAGTAGCCACACTCTGAGACTTGAGGCTCCGCAGGAGCATTATGGGGGTTTCCGAAAATAGGGGGACCCTACCAAAAAAGTCCAACTATCGACCCTGAATACTAGGATCCGTTTCCCATAAACTAGCGACGCCGAATTCCCTGACACTCTTACAGATACCGAAATGTTGGTTCATGACACCTATATAGGCTTTTAAGGCTTCTATGACACGTCATAAAACCAGCCCCAAAACCCGAAGCCCTAAACCCTGAATTAAAAGCTTGATGAAACCCTCAAGAAGTCCCTAGACCTCAGACTACTGAAGAGACAGAAAGTAAGAACGATACCAAACACTTGAAAAATGTTTTTGGGCTTAGGGGCAACAGAGTATGTGCCAAAGTCCGACTCACTAGGGCCTCAGAAGCTATGATGAAGGTAGGACCATTGTTGGGAAATACCCTACCTACCCTCATCCCTCCCTTCCCCTACCTCATAGTATCTTTTGTAGATCCGTTATAGTAACACTTATAGACCCCTTTAAAGGAAACCTGTTCTAATTACTAAGGCCTCTATATCAGTTTCTCAAACATCGCGTGAAGAGCTCGTCGGAACCACATGGCCCAAAGCGCAGCCCCGAATTGCAAAATTGGGAGAGAAGAGCTGCTATAGCCGCAGGACCCCGGATAGTGAATTCGAGCCCCAAACCCCCTGTCAAGCCTGAAACCAAACACCAAACCCCTGTGATTAAACCCTAGCCCGAAACTCTAACTTCACTTTTCCCGCCTCTACTGCAACTGAATAGCCAAACGCCTTCAAAAACTGAAGTCATGCACCCTCACCCCCCCACCTTCGAGAGAAGTTACAAACCGACACGAAGACGGTGCAGGAGCAAATACCGCCAGTGCCAGTGCCGGGTGATTGTCTATCCATGGAGCTTTTGCTGATCTATTGCATTCTTCATAGAAGGCCAAAAGGGGTTTTAGCCTATGCGGGTTTAGTAGGGATTAGGGTTCCCATAATAGGGTTCATATTAAGGAATCCCTACTCCAAGCATCTTAAACCCCCTTTTGGCCTCCCATCAATTCTCAACTTCTGGGCTTTCGGACCATCGGCTGTCGATGTTAGGAGTTTTCACTGCAAGAGTCTAGGATGTATAGCAGGGTTCATTTAGAGTTTAGGGTTTAGGTTTAGGGGTTCAGGGTTTAGGTTTAGGGGTTTAGGGCCGGTTTAGGGTGTAGGCTTAATAAGCAGACTGCAAGGCAACCAAAGAAACCTAGCACTCGCTGCATGCCAAAACTTGTGGACTTTATGATAGACTCTCAAGCCCTAACCCTCAAATCAGACAAATACCCCACATCCTAAAACCAGAGAGGAGGCTACGATGCCAGTAGACCCTGCCACAAGCAGAAGACTTAACCTGAGTCACCCCGACAGTGTTGAGCCCTGAGCTGGGTTTGAGGGGGTATTCTATTCTATGACCGTGCCAAGAAGCCTCAAAGGATGGTGTAACTAATTATCTGACCCAAGCCGAGGTGTGACTTGAATGCAGGACAAAAGAGACTAGCTGAACTTTGGAGCTCGAAAGCCGAGAGACCATTAATCCTCGCGGTGGTGATGGTGACCGTGATGCAGATAAGGAGGGTGATGAAGATTAAGAGGTAGGAGGTGGAATGTGACAAACTACACTTCTGGGGCTGATGAGGACCGTGATGAAAAGACCAGCATCACCACCAACAATGATCGTCGCCGCCACAAGACAAGACCTTCCGCTGCCACATCCGGCAGAATCCAGCAGCTTCACCACAATGGGAACCAGCAGCCGACAGCAGCAGCAGCTCATCCTGGCTCTCCTCCGCCTCCTCTTCTCCGTCATCGTATTATCAGCACCATCATCTCCAGCAGCGGCGCCAATACCAAACCAAGAAGAGATGCAAATACTAATTAACAGTGATCATGGGGAGGACCAGGAGTGTAGCAGAGAGTAAGACTGCAACCTGATTCGCAGATGAAAAGGCACGGCACAAAGCAACGAGACCCCCCAGAAGACGAATCATCAAAGCGAGGCATGGGAAGATGTAAGACGATAAACCCTCAACCCTAACAACTTCCAGTACAATGTATGTGAGCCAGAACCCTAAGCTCATATATTTTCAGCAAAACCCTAAGCCCTAACACCTCAGCAAAACATGCACCACCCTAAGACCCTGAGCCCCCCCCCCTGGGTGAAATAATTGATTGAAGCCCTACATCCTAACACCCCCAGAAAAAAAGCTTAAGACCCTGGAGCCCCTCCTGGTACCATCAACAACCTCGGCAAAATCACTTAACACCCTAAACTAAGACCCTAATGACCTAATGCCCTCAAGCTTAATGCCCTAAACCCTAAACCCTAAACCCTAAACCCTAAACCGTAATGTTCGAGGACCCGGAAGCAACACCCGTGTCTCCTGGCAAGCTTTCGCGACGTGGCATTGAAGATCCAGCTCGTCCGGTTTTGGGTTCCTTCAAGGGCTCGTTTACGATTCTGTACAGGTTTAGGGTTCAGGGTTTGGGGGATGAGAATTGGTGTGTTTAGGATTTTGGAGTCGGAAGCTTTGGCTATAGCAGAAGCAGGACTCCACACAAAATGGCACTCAAATACGCGGTCAACTCCACAGAGAAGAAAGGCAAGATTTCATGCAGGGTTTAGGGTTAGGGCTAAGCCAACAGATCACGGAGAGCATGACAAGAGTTACAAACTGCCGCATTCCAACATCTCGACATGCATGACTTCGGCCGACATTGCTGGAAGGGCACCCTTTTCAATGTGTCCCAACTTCGAGGGTAGGTTGAAGGTTCCCCTAGATTCCCGACGGTCCATGGGGGTCCACGCTCCTGGTAAATCCTGGTGACACACACCCTGTGCCCTTCACCTCTGAATGGCCCCCGGATCTAGAAATGGGAGTTTCCGAAAATAGGGGACCCTAATATAGTACCCTAAATAGTAGGATCTCCATTATAAGGACCCCAAAACCAGGTACCCCTAATTTTCGGAAACTCTAAACCCTAAACCCTTTATAGATCCCTTACAGATCCCTTTCAGGAGCCCTCTAAAGGATCCCTTTAAAGGTACCCCATTCGGAAACTCCCAAATCATGGCTGTCCAGCACACTGGGGGCCGGTTGATTGGATTTCTCCCTTTGCAGTTTGCACCTTTGCATTCTGCGTGAAGTTTACCTTAGTTCTCCAATACCCAACCTTTTAACTTTTTGGTTCTTATAGTTTAGTAGGAATCGGAAAGTTTAACCTTGTATTTTTGTGGCGTATTCGGGTAGTAACTTACAAGTTTGCGCACGCTTAGGAGTGCAAGAGTCTGGGAGTCGGCGCTGAGCATGTCTCCATTCTGCCCCCGCCCCCCCACGTTGTGGTTACCCTGAATTGAACCCTGAAGGTGTTGAACCCTGAACCCCGAAGCCTTAACCCAGAACCCCCAAACCCTAGTTTGATCGTCTTAAGCCTCAGAAGCCAAACCGAGGGATTGTTCCGCCTGCAACATCCCCACACATCGATTCGTGTGCCTTGCCTCATGCTTCATAGTTTATCGGTGTAGGTGTTGGGTTGCAGGATTTAAGATTTGGATGTCAGAGTTTAGGAGTTTCAGGCATACCTAGCTATCCGTTCCTTCCTTTCTAGACCATTTACAGGAGTTCAAGATATAGAGCTCGGGGGGGACTATGGTTTTTTCCGAGCTTTGTTCAAGGCTACAGCCTCTTGGGTTCGTAGCCTGAACCAACACAGGCCCTGACAAAAGCCTCCGTAATTTATAAGCAATACCTGGACCTTCAGATCAATCCACCGTGGCAGTACCTGTTTTTGGCACAGCACGTCCAGGACGAGAAATCGGTTGTGTCTCCCGTTCCGCTGCCCGCATCCCAACAGTTCAATCCTTCCTGATGTATAGCAGTTTTACATACACACCAAATAACACAGTTCCCAACCCTAAAATCGGACATCGAAAACTGAGCCCGAACAACAAAACCTACGAAGCTTGGAGGCTGTCGGGCTCTTCGGCTGTGGCTTCGGGGTCGGATATTCGGAGCAGCCTTTGCTCCAATTCAGTGAATGCACGTGGGCCTGTCTTTGTTTTCTTTAATGGCAGGGCACGCATAGTCCCAGCAGTCGCAGCAGAAGCAGCAGCAGCAGCAGCAAACGGAGGAGGAGGAGGAGGAGGAGAAGCACAGCACCCATAGCAACACACGTGCCATCCCTACACCTAAACCGTTACAACCCTATAGGCTTGAAATGGAGAAGCCAGAAGCCACCAGCATCAAGAATCTACATGCCCCAATGCCCAAGAAGCCAGAATCCCAATAGATCTACCAGTACGAAAGAATCAGACCCTGATCTCAGAGTCTTTAACCCTAGGCATTCGATCCCGAACCAAAAAACCACAAAAACCGCATCAAAAAAACGACTGCAGAACCCCTCGAAGCCTTGAAAGACCCCCAAATACACGTGAAACAACCCTATTCAAATAGGAAAAAAAGCTCATAAAGTCGACTCCTGCACCCCCCAATACCTGAAACCGCTAAACCCCTAAACCCCTCAATCCCAAACCCCTAAAACCCTAAACCCCCAAGCCCCCGACACCCTATGGTAGAAGCCAGAAAGTTGGAACATTAGTATCCTCGTGCCCTTAAAGTAAAGGATAAGGGATCCTAGCACTAATCCCCCTAGACTCATGTTCCAACTTTCTGGCTTCTACTGTAAGAGAACGCGCCGATCCCAAGACGCGGCAGCTCGGTGGACTCATTGGAGAGCTTATTGTCTACGACCAGCAGCATGGACCCCGGTTTAGGGTTTAGGGGTTTAGGGTTTAGGGGTTGAGGGTTTAGGGGTTTAGGGATTTGGGGGGGCCTAGTAGTAGAGTAGGGAACCTTTACCTTTTTCGGGTAGTATAGTCCCTATATAACCCCTATATAACCAACAAGGTTAACCTTTAGTTCCCCATGATACCCGACCAGCAGCATGGACCACGGTTTAGGGCTTTACGGTTGCGGGTTTAAGGAGTTGAAAGTCATGGACCACGGTTTAGGGCTTTAGGGTTGGGGGTTCAGGGTCCAGCGTTTAGGGGTTCAGGATCCAGTGTTTGGGGTTTTGGGGTTTAGGGCTTAGGGTTTAAGGAGTTGAAAGTCATGGACCACGGTTTAGGGTTTTCGGGTCCAGGGTTTAGGGCCGAGGGCTTACGGAAGTTGAAGTTATGTACCATGGGGTTGCTACAAGGTTGGTATCAGGGGTTATTGTGAGGTTAACTCTAAGGGTCCTGTAAGGGTACTTGAAGGTTTGGGGTCTTGTGGTCCGGGTTTGGGTCCTTGGGGTTCCACGCTTTTGAGAGTTTCGAGTCTAGGGTTCAGGCTTTTAGGGTTTAGGGCAGTGTAGAGACTTGCGAGAGGGTGGGAGAGTGGAGGGTTCAGGGTTTGCACGTTTGCAGTTCTGTGACCAGTGTGGAGAGACTCCCAGGTTACAGGGAGTTTGAAGAGCGATTGCAGCTTCTCTAACGAACTCATCAGGGCTTTATGCGCTTTAGGATGCAGGGTGTAAACAGTATGCATAGATTCGCATGTTCCCGGACTTCGGGCGGTGTGTGGAGTTTTGTGGGATTTTGCGGGGTGGTATCGTGTTTCATCGCGTTTCATTACGGTGTCTAAGTGCCTGAGTAGTATCCTTTTGCTCTTTTTCTGCTTGGCTTCCCTTGTTCAATTAGAATCTGTGAAAAAGGGTACCTTTCTTATTGGGAAGGGGCTACTTTTGGGGTTTAGAGGTTTAATATAGGGGCTCAAAAAATTGCCCATACCATGTTTGAGGGTTCCTTGTTTATGAATACAGTATATTGGGCCCCAAAACCCCACTCTAATTTTGAAGGCCCCAATGTTATAGAGCCCGTATAGTATCCCCTATGGATCCCCGAAAGAAGCACTGTTCCAAGTATGAAGGCCCCTATTTTTGAGTTTAGAATAGTGATTTGGGGTTCCTTTAGAGCGTTCCTTTAAGTGATACTATGAGGTGTACTATAGGGGCTTAGAATAGGGTTTTGGGGGTATCGTTTAGTGTATGTGGTATAGCTGTAGTAGCCAACGGGCCCACAGCGGGGATCACAATGATTGCAAACAGTATTCCCATTTTATATAGTCCCACAAAAATAACAGTATCATAGATCCCTATAACCTGTTCTAACTATTCAGGCAGTCTATATTCAGAGTTCGTGTTCTACGCCAAGTCATGTTCACTTCTTGTGCCTTTCATGCCTTTGCATTGAAAGGGTCTCAAACTCCGAAAATATCAACGGTGGTGCTTTTTGACTTTAGTGTTTGGGGTTTAGGGTGCAAACTTGGACGGTCGGGGGACTTAGTAAGTAGGTAGTAAGTAGACTTACAAGTGCCCTAAAAGGGACCCTAATTGGGGTTATGGTACTCATAAGTCTATAAAAATAACCAGTTACAAAGTCCCCCGACACCTAACCAGTTACTAAGTCCCCTAAAGACCCTCCAAGAAAGAATAGAACCCACCGTCTCGCGAAGTGGGGAGCGAAAGATCCGGGACCCACAGGAAGGACCCTTAATTTTGGGCTCTTAGGGTTCCTTTAAAGGGATCTATAGGGGTCTAGGGTTCCTTTAAAAGGATCAATAGGGCCCTAATGTAGTCCTTATAGTCACTATTACAGGGTGGGGGCAGCTTCTAAGGTTTAGGCTGTTCCTCAAAACCGAACTAGAACCCCCAAGACAGCCGCAGGACTGTGTCGCAGACCGCTGTTCCTTCCCGGAATAGCTCCAGAGCCGTCCGCCTCCACCTCTTTTTTCCACAGAGTTATGTGCATGGCCCAAAAGCGGCCTTCCTTGAATCGAACTGCGCTTAAGATGAAGGTAATTAGAGGCTGAAAATTGTCGTAATTGTTCGGATCAGGTTTCGGAGTACATTAGTATAACCTCGAACTTAGACAGGCTATAATGGAATAGTGCCGGAAAATAGGCATTGATAATTCCGAACCCCTCTTTGAACAATTTGCAAGGGGTTCGTGCCGCTTACTCATAATATGGGATCTCGAATGACGGAAGGTTGCATGACGTTCCCAGAACCCTATTTCAATTTTTCAGGGCCCCATATTACAGTTGCTGAGTTTGTCCTCTCTAAACCCACCTGGGCGCATCGCTCTCTATAGGAGCCCACATGAAATGTTCGGTCATACTGTTGATGATATAATTCCTGCATTGCCCATAATAAGACATATACCATAATTCCCCTAGTTTAGGGTCATTAAGGTAATGCAGGATTTATATCATCAACCGTATCCCTATGCCGGAGGCTTGTTCTTGCTCTTCAGGCCAGGTTAGGATCAGACCATCTGACCCGTGAGGATTAAAAGTCAGACGCATCAGTTAGACCTTTTGGCAAAGCTTGTGCGAAACACGAGAGGTTCTAGCTTGCATAGACTGGTGACTATACGGGAGGGCTACTGGCAATTATTCAGACCCTATAGTAGCTCTTCACGGGTTGAGGTGGATCCCCAAACCCTAGACCCCAACCGTTCAGGGATAGTTGACAATAGAAAATGTGTGTTTTTAATCTTTGGTTTTGCTAGGGGTCTATGGTTTTTGCTAGGGGTCTAAGTTCAGTATAGGACAAGGAAGGCTGCAAAGAGGGGATGCCAATGAGGCGACGCTGGGAGGGACTTGAGACCATGGCGAGAGTTCCGTTGAGAATTTTAAGGATTTTAGGGTTCAGAGTTTAGGGTTTAGGGTTTAGGGGTTTAGGGTTCAGAGTTTAGGGTTTAGGGTTTAGGGGTTTAGGGTTTAGAGTTTAGGGTTTAGGGCTCAGTGTTGAGGTGATGCCGCGTCAGTCCTGCATGAGTTGCGGGTGAGCAGGTCATGTCTGCATGAAAAAGCCAGGAAGAGCTGTAGACCTGTGTCGGTTTGGTTTGATTCGTTTCCACTCCGGGGCATGGGATCCTGTGGCTGTGACAGTCAGCACTCCCAAGATTCTTCAATCAAGGGAATGCTTGAAAACGCTCCCGCAACTGCAGTCAGGCAGCACGCCATGTCTCGCGTTTCTCCCGGTTTCTATGAATTTTGGAATAGGTGCCTGACCTGTGCACAACCTCTCTACCATTACAGTAGAAGCCGGAAAGTTGGAATTTGGTTTCATGGTAGGATACCCTATAATTTACCATAGAAGGGTTAGCATAATAATACTCCAACTTTCTGGCTTTTACCTTATAGTGTAAAGTACTGCCTCGCTCCACATCGGCACAATCCGGGTGACAAGGCTCGGTTCTCGCGTTTCTTGTACAGAGTTGCCAGACAAGGATGCTGACAATTGCTTTTTTTCAAATCCTTAGACAGGCTTGATTGGAGGGGAGGCATGTAGACGCGAAGCTCGGGTCGCGTCAAAAACAGGTGGGCAGATGGCAGGGTTTGGGATTCATCCGTTGGCTTTACTGGCTGATAGAGGGGCCTGAAACATTAGAACAGGTCTACTACGGTACACCGTCGTAAAAACTCAATGTGGGAATGTTCGGAATATTTTTGGTAGTTTCTTTGTGCTTCAAGCCTCTCCGACCCCGAATATCCTCCGAAAGCGAAAGGCAGCAGGAAGCTCCTGTCAACTGTGGGTCTGAGGCGAGATTCGGGTTTGCGGAGGTGATGGCCATGCTACTGCTACTACAGCGACTACGACTACTGCTACTACTGCTACTACTACTACTACTACTACTACTACTACGACGACTACCACGACTACCACGACTACGACTAATACCACCACGACTACGAGTACCACTACCACTACCACCACCACTACCACTACTGCTCCTGCTGCTGCTACTACGACTGCTCGGCTGCAATATTAGACAGAGTTGGTACCAGCAAGAACACTCTTGGTGGCATGGATGGTGCCACAGCCGGAAGAAAAGCTAATTCGTCCGGTTTGGGGCGTTCGTCCGGGGAGACTCAAGCAGTTTGTATCTTCCTTTCCTCATCGTCTCCATGATGCAATGGCAAATTCGGAGCTGAGTCTGTTTTGCGTCCAGTCGTTCAGGGCCCTGTGAGTTCCGGGGTCAGCGAGCCAGGTAAGAGTTTCCAAGCTCTGCACTGGCCCAGACAAGAACTAGGTTGGATTTTGGGACATTTTTTATTTTCCTTATTTGTGTGTATAAGGGACCCTATATGTAAATATTTTTCAGGGTGTTTAAAGGCCAACCCAGAGAAAGCCACACACCCTAAATCCAAGTTTGCCCAGGTCTCGAATCTACGACGGCATCCTCGCGAAGGTTGGATCGGACATAATGTTCTTCATGCTAAGCCGTGGGGCATGTTGAAAGTTGTGACTTTGGAAGTATTGCTTTTTGATGTTGCTGTGGACATGGGGTCAGAGGGTTGGGGCATTACAAGCGCAGCACGACTCTGTTTGTCGTGGTGCGCGGTCGTAGAGGTTTTGTTTTTATTGTCCAAGTTGAAGTTAAGCCCTCGGATCGAGATAGCAGGAAGTTGTTGCTACCGACACGCCATGAGCGAGAGATCATTTGGACCGGGTTCAAATCCTGAAACCCAGAGTCCCAGGCCAAATCCTGAAACTCAGAGTCCCAGGCATCATCAGAGCCGGAAGCCCCCAACCTCACAGCCGGAGGCCCCAAACCGAAGAAACTGTGCAAGTGCCCCCCCCCCCCCCCACGCCCGAACCGACCCTTAATAAGGACCCCTAGGTACCCAGAGTTGAGGAATATACCTTAAATTGTAGTAGGATCCCTAATATGATTTAAGGAATATTCCTTAATTAAGGGATATTGGAGTCTCTGGGTATATACCCTTAATATAGCTGTTATATACCCATTGTATAGCCCATTATAGGGTAGGGCCCCCCTCTCCCGTTTTTTTGCCAATCCAAGCAGCCAGGCTATACGTCAGGATGAGCCCATCTAGCATGGTCCCCCATTCTCGGAAACTCCCATTTCGGGTGTTGATCGAGTTCCGATGACGTTGGCCTCTACTGCTGCCAGCCTGCCAGTCATTTGGGCTCAGAGAGTTGAGACCTTGGTTTTAAGCTTTTGGCTTTCCGTGTTCCGTCATGTCACTCAGCGGGAAGACCGTGGTCTTCACAGGAGATCCGGGCAGAAAGCTAATAACACATTGCAGAGACCATTTTTTGATTGGTATAGCTTAGGATACCCCAAACCCCTTCTTCTAATTATAGGCCGCTGTATTAAAAGCCCCACCAGGTATGACAAGATAGTTGCTCTGCTCGGCGACTTCCCCAAAAGTCCAAAAGTCTTGGCACAGGAACGCTCTCAATAGGCCGCGCAGAAGCATCCGCACTGGCCAAAGCTGCCGGTGCAAAGGTAGGAGGATCCGTGTCTGCATTCACCGACGTGGTCGTCGCTGGCCCAGATGCAGTGGATACTGCAAAGGCCGGAGGCTTTGACAGGAAGAGCGGAGCTTTTCCCCTTTAGGGGTGAGGGGGAGGTGCACAGTTGCTTTCATCAGGAAGCTGGGCCAAATCCGCCAGCCCAGTAAGAGACCTGAATGATTGACTGAAAACGCTATTCCCTAGAGTTGCTTTACATCGTCGCACTCTGAGAGACCCAAAACCGTGCTTTCAAGAAAGAAGGCCCCTTACACGACGAATCGCCCCAGGTGTCTGCTGCCAAGGTGAACGGCAAGAAGATCTTCACAGAGGCGCAGTTCAAGAAGGCACTCGGCAAAGCAGGCAAGGGCCCCTCCGTGGCCATGGCTAACTAGGTTGGATTTCGGGACATTTTGTATTTTCCTTATTTGTGTTTATAAGGGACCCTATATATAAATATTTTTCAGGGTGTTGAAAGGCCAACCCAGCTAAGGCTAAAGCCAAAGCAAAGGCGAAGGCGACAGCCAAAGCTAAGGCCAAGGTCAAGCCGACGATTCTCAAAGGTAAGGCCACGAAAAGTGCTAAGCTGGCTGGAAAGGCAATCTGCATGACCGGTGCGGTTTCAGAGACACGGAAGCAGATGACAGATCTCATCAAGAGAACCTCGGCATAATTCACAACCCTCTATGTGGTTTCAAGCTTCTTGTTGTTTTGCTTGCTCTCTTGTTGGGTATTTTATCTCACTGTTTTTGTGTGTGTGTGTGTTTGTGTTTGTCTGTGTTTGTTATTTCTGAGTCCCTTACTGTTCTGTTGCTGTTTGTATTTTCGTTACTGCAAAGTCATTCTTGCCATTATTGTTTTATTCAGATCGACTTGCAGCATGAGCAGTGGGGATCCACGGAGACAGAGAGGCTATGAGGTTCAAGGTTTTCGATTGTTTAGAGGTTTGTTTTGAGGTTTAGTTTAGGTACTAATTTCCTGTACTAGTGTTGGGGTTCCATTTTATAATTGTAGTATAATGGGTCCCAAAAACCCTATTCTAATTACTAAGGCCCCTGGATTAAGGGCTCAAGTGTGTCGCCAGGCCATGGTGGCGAAGTGACCAGCTCGCTGACCAAGAAGTCCACACACCTCCTTTGTGTGAATAGTGGTGCCATGTCCGGCAAGTATCAGAAAGCTATCGAATCAGGTGTCGTGATCATCCGCGAGAGGCAGCTGCGCCAGATGATTGGGGAGTTGAAACCTGATCGTGGCAATGTTTGCCTTGCAGAAGGGCACAAGATGAAGTGGGGTGTCAGCCCAGAGTATGATAGCTTTGTGTGCAACCTTTGTGCTAAAGCCGATTCTGGTCCTCGATGGTACTGTGGAGCATGTCATGATGACATTTGCGGCACGTGCCGAAAGAGGAAGTAGATTTCCAAGGGAGGTATATTTTCATTCGCAGCGGCGAACTGCCCGTGTAACGGGCAAGCGCCGGCATCACTGCAGACGGCACTCACAGGTTAAAATAGGGGTCTTAATATTTCGATACCTATACTATGTTGGGGGTTCTTTCTTTTTCTTTATAGTATATTATACCCCAAGCCTTATTCTAATCACTAAGGCCCCTATACTACGCATCTCACGAACAGCGCAGCAACACAGTTTTGCAATAATGAACAAAACAACATGAAAAGTACGTGAGTCCGAGTACCAAAACCTTCAAACTAGCAGAGCTCTTATAATCTCGTAAGTATGATTCTCAAAGCTGTGTGTGCTAGTTCCGGTGGGTATTGCGAAAAGCAGGGTTAAAGCGGCAAAGGCTACCAAGACAACTATAGCTTCAGTGCAGATTTCAATAGGTGGGAGTTTCAGGCGGAGGGGATCCTAGTATCGACCGTCAGTGCTAAGATCCCTAGCATACGGACATTCATCAAGACGCCCCTCGGTTTCTGAAAGCCCGATTTCAAAAGCTCGTTGCATGATGTCGCCCGGGGTAGACGCTAGCTCCGCAAGCCTATGAATTTCAGACCATAGAGCAGCCCCGCCCCACAGACACACACCAAAACAACGAACAATCTAAAGCACAAGAGCCCAAAGACAGACTAAAGAAGTCTAAAGCCCTCTTCACTCTGAAAGTCACTGCCTGCCAGCCTACAACCAAAAGCCCCGCTGTTTCCGTGGCTGGCTGCCAGGAGTGGGGTCCTGACGAAGAGGAGCTCGTCAACTTGGCGAGTTACGAGGCCGTTCTTCGGGGTTTGATTTTGGGACCTTAATAGTTGCCTGTGCTTTAGATTGAGCGTTTATACCCCTAAACCCTGTTCTACTCATTAGGGCACAAGGCCCGCAGATAACTCTCTTTAAGCCCGTGTGAAAGAGCAACATGGGAGTTTCCGGAAATTAAGGGATACAGTTTGTTGGAATCCTTACAATAAGGATCCCACTATTTAGGGTACTATATTAGGGTCCCCTGCCTGTTTTCGGAAACTCCCACATAATTGGCTCCTGGTTAGAAATCGGAATCGCCATGCAAGGCCCAGTTCCCTCTTCATCAGACCGGTGAGGGCGAAGAGGCCAGGGTTTTGGTGAGATCACTTAGGGCACTTAAAAGTATGTTTTAATCTTCGGTTCCTCTGATCCCTAAGAGACCGCTGAAATTCCTTTTTTTGCTAGGGGTCAAGTTCAGTATAGGTGATGCTTTCAAGCCACCCAAGCCCGCTAGTTTTCGCACGTGTCGCTGCGACCAGGAACACAACAGTGACCAACACGGGATTTACAAGAATCGTAGTCATTGAAACTGCAGCAGCAGCAGCAGCAGGAACACTCAGGCTGCTTGTGGTCAGTTTCATAGCGGGGCTTAATTTTATGTTTCTGTACATCTGGGTGCAGGTGCTTGAAATGTTTCACGCATGTACTGCATTGCAGTGTGGTGTGATGGTATTGGCTGGTATTGGTATTGGAGCTGGTGCTCGTGTTAGTATTGGTCGTGGTATTGGTATATGTGCTGCAACTAGCAGTGGTCGTGGCGTTGGCAGTGTATTCTTATTGTGTGTGTTGTCTTGCCTTGTATTGCAATGCATTACACTATGTTGTATTGTTCTGTGTAGATGTACGTAGATGTAGCTGTACTTGCATTTGTATTTGCATGCGGTATCGTATTGTATTGTATACCTGTTTACGCATTGACGCATAAAAGGACGGACGAGCGACATGATGTAGGCCTGTCTTGGGGACGCAGGGCTGAGAATCTAAGACGTAAACATACATGTACAACTTTCATTCTTTACTTGCTTTACTTGTACATGTGTATATATATATAAACACACACACACACTCACTCACGCAAGAGCATAGAGCAGAGAGACAGAGCGACACAGAGAGAGAAAGAGAGAGTACTTGGAGGGTCGGGGGACTTAGTAACTGGTTATTTTATAGACTGATAAGTACCATAACCCCCATGAGGGTCCCTTTTAGGGTACTTATAAGTCTACTTACTACCTACTTACTAAGTCCCCCGACCCTCCAAGTAAGCAAGCCAAGCATCATCCACAAGACCGTTGGATGCACAGCCTACAATAGGCAAAAGATCCAGCCACCACCACAAAAGCTGGAAACTGATGATGCGTGTGACAATGAACATCGTCATCGCCGCTGTTTTTGTAAGAACTGGACATGTAGGCTTTCGTCCTGATGCTATATAGTGCCTTGATGGAAAAATGAGTACACAGAATCGACAGTCCACATCAGCGGTAGTGCTGGCAATAACCGTGCAACATTCAGATGTCTGGCAGGAAGAGCGCCCAGCGTCGGTGGCCTCATCGGTGAGATGCTCAGAAACGCGAGGGTCTAGATACTGATTTCTCCTTCAGAAGAAAGGCTTCGGACTAACTAACTTAGCATTCACCTGTTCGATCAAGAAGGCAACCTGCCACACCGAGCCGTCAATATCTTTGAAGCAGGGTTCCCTTCACTCGGAACCATGGACAAGTGGCGTATCCTGCCGTGTTCTTCGACTGAGGAACCTGACGAATGTAAGCGTCTCTGCGCACATAGCTCAAAATGTAGAACATCGGAGTAGTCTTGCTAGGCCATTCTTCGGCGCAGTTGGGGTGTTGATGCAAAATGCCGAAGTGCGCTTGGCATCGCACCGTCGATCTTGCGTAAGCCGAGCCCAGCTCCCTTCTTGGATATCCCGGCTTCTTAGGGGCACTTAGAAAAAATTATTATAATCCCTAAGAAACAGCTAAAATTATAATGTTTGCTAGGGTTCTAAGTTCAGTCTAGAAATAGCAGAAGGATCCTGTGAGATGTAGTCGTGTCGAAGAGTTCAGGACATTTTTCCAGGAGTTTTGCTCCGAGACGCAGAAAAAGGGCTGCCCCGAATCTCCCACCCACAACATCTGAATTTTCTAGCACACCTACATGGAGACGAGTGATTTCGCCAACCCTGAACCCAGGCCTTTAAGCGGGGGAGGTTTTCTCTAGAGCTCACGGCCGGGATGGATACCGTGGTTACCAGAGCCGCAAGTAGCTCGGACGTGCATGCTCTCGTAAAACTACTGTGACAGTGGAGCATATCCCTTTCCCACTGCCTAAAGTGAAGGAAGAACATAAACACCTTCATGGTAACATTCATGAAAAGATGTCGTAAACATGGGCATAGAACTGTTCAGGCCAGTGGAAAGTCTGCTCGAGCAAGGCCTCGTGTGAAGCTGTGAAAGGGGTTCCAGGATTTTCAGACTTGACACCATGCATTCCAGAACCTGTTTGGGAGCCCATTGAGATGGTGGCATGCTTTCGGAAGATCATATCTGTCATCATTCACGAGGCATGTAGAGATGCACGAGACATATGACAGTCGTAGCACGGCTCAGCAGCATGACGGCTTTGTCTTCCAGTTAGCCTGCAGCAAGCTGCTCCAATTTTGCAGCAATGGCCATGAGAAACTAACGATGGTTCGATGCTTCATTCGCAGCGAATCAACAGTGTTCTGGAACCCTAAGCCATAAATCCTAAGCCCTAAAGCCCTAAATTACCAGACCTTTCGGTGCAACTTTGACGTGATTCGGAGCTATGCAGCTGAACTTCCCAAACCCTCAACTTGTGAAGACAGTAGACATTTTCTAGATTCCTGGGTACCGTTAGCTTCCTTAATTGTGGCTACATATCGAACACCGACTTCTCAAAAGTCTGGGGTTGGTGACATCGACACCTATCAGGGGTGATCTCTGTTCACAGCACCCATGTGCAGGAAGAAGGAGAAGGCAGCTGGCAAGGCACTGCAAGGGGATGGCAGCAGAAGTAGTGAGTTCAGAGCTATTGATATCGAAAAAGCCCTAAAACCCTTGAAGCCTTAAGGTGCAGACAGCTCCAAGCGTAACAAGTAACAGCCATATGACCTGGAGCCCTTTGCCAACACGCTTCAATCTCGAAGTGTTCCGCAGATGAATTTGGGTTAAGGTGCTACCGAATACCATGCACCAGGACCTGACAAGGCCTTAAGAGTAGGCCCATTCGCCAAATCCGGATAGATGTAGCTTGGACATACGGTTGGTGCTGCCAGCAACAATATTTGGTTGATTGTAACGACTGCGACACCCTAACCCTAAGCCCACAAAATGACAGATCGAAAAACCTTTCAACCCCAAGCCCCAACCCCTAAGCCCAATATCCTAACTCCTGAAGCTTAAAACTCGAATCCGAAAAACTTAAGGGTCAGAATCCCACAACCGCAAAACAACTAAACTCCTAGACCGTCTTTATGGCATAAGCCCAAAACCCTGTTCAAAGCCATGAAAAGCCTGGCCCTTAAACATTGAACCCTAAACCTGCAATCCGAAATCCCAAGCCGAGGTCATAGTAACCCCGAAAGGAACTCTGTAGACCCCGTTGATAGCACAGGCATCTCCAATCATTATTAAAGCTCCTCAACACTCAACCCCGAAAGAACCCTTATAGTAACCCTTACAGTAGCCCCTGCCGGAACTCTGTAGACCTCTTTGACGGATTGGCTGTAAACTCAACTTTTCAACTTTCGGGATTCTTATAAGGTAGTCGATCCTGAAAGTTTCAACTTTGATTTCCTTGGGTTTGGGGCCAGTGAGTAGTACAATACGGCACCTAATATTTAGGGTATCAAAAACGGTGCCATAATTTTGACAACTACGCATATCCCTTATCGAACCCTTTAAGGAACCCTTACAAAACAGCACAGGCATCTCGCAACAGCAGCCGGAGCCTTCGAAGCGACAGCCAGTCCTCTCTCGGAAGCGAGAGGTCAGCCCGGGTTCGGGGAGCTTTCGTGTTTCGGGTGTAGGGCTTGCAGTCCAGGGCTTCGGGTTTGGGGTTGAGGATTTGGTTTTTAGTGTTTGGGGTTCAGGGCTTCGGGTTTAGTGTGTAGTGTGTACAATTTGGGGCTTGCAGAAGTCATTGGGGATTTAAGCTTTGAAGCAGGGTTCGGGTTTGGCTTTAGGATTGGGGCCTCGGTTTAGAGATGAGAGTTTTAGGGTTTAGGGTGTTGGTTTAGAGCTGCAGGGATTGGTATGTGGGTTCCAGGTGCTAGGCCTTGGGTTTCGGTTTAAGCGGTTTAGGGGTGCAGGGTCTGGGGTTAAGAGTTTTTCGGTTTTGGGTCTTCTCATTGTTTGAAGGGATCACCAAACATTTCGATATGTATTTACCCTCTCAGAGAGGACCCGAGCTCGAGTAGCCAAAATGACCCTAGCGAATTTGCTGGGTTGAAGACCCTAAACCCTAAACCCCTAAACCCCTGTCTTTAAGACCTTGGGGTTCAGGGTCTTTGGCTGCATACTTTTAACTCGGCATGAGCTGCGAGACTACTGCGGTTTAGGGCTTACGTAGGGTTTAGGGGTTTAGGCTGAAGGGGCTTAGGTTTAGGGTTTAGCATCCTCGAAGCGCCCAACTCCATTCTCAGCTCGTCATGAACCCAGAGACTCCAATATCCCTGAACTAAGGAATATTCCTTAAATCATATTAGGGATCCTACTATAATTTAAGGCATATTCCTTAATATTGGAGTCTCTGGGAAACCTTCATGAGTCTGGGGAGTCACCAAGGCCCATACCTAACCTGAGGTATCAGGATGGTTCATATGGAAGCAGCTCCCGTTTGCTGCCAGGAGCCACGCATCACGGCGAGCTTAGAGTGCCACACTCAGCTCAGGAAATGCCGTTTACGGTTTAGGAGTTAGGGTTTATGGAGACTGAAGACTTGGGATTTTGGGATGAGGGCAAAGGATAAGTTTGAGGATGCGCGGCGCTTGCTTGCGATACTAGTTGCCTTCACGTTCCCTTTAGAATCATGACTATCAGCAACCAGATACGGTCGTTTTCACCATTGAGCCATTGACATTGAAGTGAAAAGTCGCGGACTAGATTCGGCAAAGATGATACCGCACCAGGACCAGTAAGACCTCGTGTTGTGTCGCAGCATCTGCAGCGGCGACATGGCAGTTTCCGAAAAACAGGGGACCTTTGGGCATCCGGGTTTCTGCCATAAGAAGGCCGTGCCTTTCCCAGAGACTCCAATACCCCTTAATTAAGGAATATTCCTTAGATCATATTAGGGATCCTACTATATTTTAAGGTATATTCCTTAATTAAGGGGTATTGGAGTCTCTGGGTTGTTCATGGCATTGTTATGCACAGAGGTGTAGGGTTATCGGCGTAGGTGTCAGGGTTTATTCTTTCGGCCAGCCGATGTTGCAAATATCTTAAGATCAACCGTACGCAGGAGTCAGCCCTGAGGATTTAGGGCAGCACGAAATGCAGAATCTCACAGCCAACTGAGCTGTAGAAGCTACTTCAAGACCCAGTCACCCAAGCCCACCAGCACTCATAATGGAAATCCTCCAACACGCTGCCCCATGATACTATAATTACAGTAAGGAACCCCCAAAATAGTACAGGTAATGATAAAGGCCCCTAGTATGCTGCCACCTGACAGCACTGAGGACCTGCGCATGCCTGCAGAGTCTCACCACGCGAGGGTGTTCCCGAGCAAGGGGTCCATAAGGGTTACTATAAGGGTACTATAAACCAATATGGGGGCCTCAATAACTAAGTACCCATCCTATTTTGGCGGTTCCTTAATTACTGTAATTACAGTATTATGGAGCCCAAAACCCTATTCTAACTATTTAGGCTCTGTAGTAGCATCCTCTTCACTGCAACATTGGAAAGCAGAGATTCAGAGATGTGCACAGTCGAGCGACATGACACCCACATGCCTCCACAATGGTGGAGCAGAGGCCAGAAGAGTCCGGAAAAGGTGACTTTTCAGGCAAGCAGTTTCACCACAGCGCATACACCCGCAACAACTGAACAGACACATTTCGCCGGAAATGTTCTGAACAGGTTGGCAGAAAGAGTGGTAGGTAGTAGGAACGGTATCGGAAGCGTATACTGGCATGGTAGTTGCGACAGCAGCATTGGTGGTGATGCATACTCCGTCATGGCAGCATTGGCATTATCAGCAACCTTGCATGCTCAGAGGTTATTTCGTGGTTTCACCCAGCAGTGGAGGTCTGCATCTCCGATTAGAAAAAGTGAGAGCAGGGGGTGCGTTGCAGGTTCCAGCGATTGACCAAAGGCTATCAAGACATGATAGACACAGGCATACACACACTCACTCACTCTAAGCACAGTCATCCGGGTCTTTGATTTCCTCTATGAATAATGAGAGCGACGGTTTAACGTTTCGGTCTTGAGTTTTGCTGAAACCTTGTGTAGGGTGCTTGATGAACAGGGTGACTGTTTGTGACGCAGAGGTTAGGGTTTGGGGCTGTTTTGTTTGCTACAGGTCTAGCTTTAGCACGTTGCACTCGGGCTTGTGTTGTGAGACTGTGATGAGGGCATCATGGCGGCCTTTCGGCGTCTGCGGCTCCGTAAGCCTTGCCCACTCAGGGGTTCACGAACATAGTGTAGGGGCCGTAATAATTACGCATACTATCTTGGGGGTTCCTTATTATACTTATAGTATAATGGGCCCCAAAACCCTACTCTACTCTAATCATTAAGGCCCCCTTCTTTAATCCAGGCAAGCTGATTCACATGTTCATGACAGCGAAAGAACAGAAGTGGTGTTGACTGTGGGTTGGCGAGACAAGCGCACACTGTCAACAAGGTGAAACAAGGATCCTGTACGAAAAGTCGGTTTCACGCGGTTTCGACATCGTGTGACCTTGCATGCAGCGTGGCTATACACTGGCACGAAACTGCGTGTTTTCATGGGTGCTACTGCTCTGTTGATCTGGAATCCTTAGTCCACTCTGCATAAGAAGTGGTAAGGAAATCTGTGTGTGAGGGTGAAGCAACCACGTTTCGATGTCCTTTCTATGCGGCTCGAAGTTCCAAAGAGTTCGAAAACGGACCCAGAGACTCCAATATCCCTTAATTAAGGAATATACCTTAAATCATATTAGGGATCCTACCATAATTTAAGGAATATTCCTTAATCAAGGGATATTGGAGTCTCTGGGGAAGTGTGGAAGTGTTGGAGCTGAAGTCGCGGGAACGGCCAGTTTTGGCTGCAGGATCCGATGCGCATCGTTCGCTTTGGCATCGAGCACCCAGAGGTTCTCGGGCGCGTGGGGGCATAGGGATTTAGGGTTCAGGCCCTCAGTTCAGGGCTTTGGGATTTAAGGGGTTTGGGGTTGAGGTTTTCGGATTTAGGGCTGACGGTTCAGTTTGTAGGCTTTGGGTTTTGTTTAGACTGGAGGTGATGGGATTTTTCTCATGTAGCGAGCCGTCGTACGAGGGAGGACGCCGACGATGATCTTGAAAGGAACTACGAATTTGGAGCTGGGATGTGGGGTTTTAGGATTCGCAGGGCCTCCTCCTCCTCCTCCGTTATGACACTGTGGCGCTGGATCGAGTTTTGGCCCGGGTCGACAGGATGCGATGGGTACGGACAGTCCTCCAAAGCAACGCATCCGACAGATTGGAAGGTTCTTCTTTTCATGCCTGGACACGCCTCCTGTGTCAAGGGCGTTTGGCCCTTGAAGAGGTGACTGGCAGGTTATGTGATGCAATTAGGTTGCTGGGGGCTGTGCGAAAGTCCTGATCATGGCCCGTCAGTGACTGACGCTATCGTTCAGTCCTCCGGCACAGAACCTTCGACTTCACCTCAAGAGCTACAAGACTCCGGACGAGATAAAAGGCAAGATACAGCCCTATTGTGAACAATACACAGCATCCTACCTGAAGCCTGAATACCCAAGCTCTAAGCAATGGGAGTTGGCGGTTTCAACCTAGGAGTCTTTTGACCTGCTTGAACAGTTCAGTTGGAGCGCTTGAAGGCTTGGAACGGGAGAACCCGTTTCTTGAGTTTGCAAAACTGAACAACCTCAGGGCCCCTGCAAACTTGCATCGACTTCCACATGCATACCTTCATACATTCGTACGACCCATAGATGTCGTTGCACGTTTCATTGGCCCCATAGCGAGTTCAAAGCCGGGTGAAGGAAACTATGTTACCAGAGCACCTGGACATCTTGGTGCTTTTGTTTTTGTTCGGGTTTTGCTCCTTCCCCAAATGGCTCCAAGAAGCCACAAATTGCAACCTCCAAGGGGGGCAGAGACGTCGCACAAATGGACAGCTCCAACAGAACTTACAGGGCTTGCGCCGACTAAGAACCAGAGTGTTGAGCACCAACAGGGGGACGGTCGCGGATGGGCTGCGGTAGCCCTGACGCGCCTGGACAAGACAGCTGAAGCTGCCAAGTCCGGAGCCCAGGGTCGGGAGGATCGATTGAAAATTGACCAGAAAAAGCTTTTTCGCTTCGAGATACGGCTTCTGCAATCAGCATAGAACGTGTAAGTATGAGTACAAGTTGTTCAGGTGCTGCAGCTTGGATGGTCTTGCCTACGACCCTGCACAGCTGTGCGTTCAAGCTCCCTGCAGTGTAGTCACATCCGTTTAGTTTTTGAGTCCGTTCTGCAGTTTTTGTGTGCGAATGCTTAATGTGTGACAGCTGTCAATAGATGCCTCTCCCTTCAGAACCATGAGGTCGGTGTCTCTTGGGTCGTGCCCAACTTTTGCAGCCCCATTGCCTGTTTTTTCAGAAAGCATCACATCCTCTCGAGCTCCTGCCACAGCTGGTAGTCAAGATTTCTCAGCATCTGGCTCGGGCTGAAACGAACGGTTCTGCAGCTCATAGTCCGAAAGACAATCCAGCACCTTCGAGGCCTAAGTCAAAAATTCGAAACCTCAATAGGCGGAGAGACTTCATCCTTCACTAAAAATAACAGAAGATTAAATTCTAAATCCTAGAGTCCAAGACCCCAAATTAAAACCCGACTTTGTGCGACAAGGCTTGCTGCGGGCCCCGACGGGCAGACGTCGTGGCTCCCGGTTCATTTGAGATCTCTGTAGTTCATGCTTTGGGGTTGGCAGCTTAAGGTGTAGACTTTAGGAGGTCGTCAAATGTCAAGCTTTCTATGACCATGAATCTTTTGGGAGACTCATGTGCCGAGGCCGTGTGGCTACCAAACGTTGAGATATGTGGCGCACGCCTGTGCCAAGGCTGAGCATTCCATTCCTGCAAGGGCTCTATGAATGGTCGTCCAGCAGCCCACACAAACAGTCGTGCAAGACACCTGCCAAACGCGGTGCAGCCGAAATTGCTGCAGTGTTACCCGTACTTTGACGATCAAACTTCAACTTGACGAGTTCTTGCTCCGGTCCCTTTGCAGGTCGGAGCTGTGGAAGCGGCCTACCACCTGTCCCGGCTGCAGATGAAATGCGGGCGGCAGGGCCCTTACATCTGCCGGCCCAATGAGGGAGTTTCCGAAAATAGGGGACCCTGATATACTATCCCTATTATAAGGACCCCAAAATAAGGTATCCCCAATTTTCGAAACTCCCATGAAGCACAGCTGAATCAAGGTTTAGGGCTTAGGGAATCGGAGGCGAGAATTCGCTAGGGCTTTTAATGCTGCTGCTTGCAATTAATGCCAGCTTCGCTGCCGACGTCGAGATTCGATTTCAAGGCCCATGCCGAAATTTCATTTTTCAGCCACATTCGTGTAAATTTTTGGCGTGGTTCAAACCAGAATCGGCAAATTTTGGCCGGCCAGATTTCGGCAAAAGTTGTTGTGCAGGATGCTGGCAAATTTTGATCGAGGCCGGATTTCGGTGGTTGCGGTATCCCCCATTTTTGGAAACTCCCAAATCAAGTTGCTTGGCTGGTGGTAGCTGACTACAGATTTAAATTGATTTGCATTCCCAGTGGAAGTTGTGTCTGCTGATGAAAACCACACAATGTTGCACTAGCCCACATGGGCGGTACCCCAAAAGTGTAGGGTATAGAGAATCGATGACAAGAAGGGTCGGGAAAGGATCTGAGACAGAACGAGCACCCATCTGACGACGGAAACCACGGGCTGGGCATTCCGAGAGACTCGTCGAAAATGCAAACTGTCTATCCTTTGTCAATTTGCCTGCACTTCACTGCACTTCAAACATGAATGGCACGCCGGCTCAAGCCGCATATCAGTTAGACCAAAGCATGGGTAAGTGCATCCCTAAACCCAAAGCCAGGACCAAGTACATCACTGCCGGCTCACGCGTCTTCCAAAGCACGCTGGAGGCATCTTGCGGAGCGTCGCATTTTCTTTTAGGGTTTACTACTTCACGGGTTGATGTTTTGGCATCATGGCAGAACCAGAGATTGGTGCGAAGATCTATGGGTCAGATTTTGCCGTGGCTTCGTGCATCGTCTTGTCCGAATGCTCGAATGCTCACGTTTTGGCTGAAGCGAAGTTCGCTCAGCACCTGGAGATGGTCGCAGGTAGTTCTGACTTAATGCTGTAAGGCCTTTGTAGTGTCCACAGTCTGTCAACGAGTTGCCGGACCCTTTCCTGGCAGTCTTCTGCCCTCTATTTGCAATCCACCGCGGAGCAGATGCCCAAGCTGCTGGCAGGAGCCGTCCCGGACCTGTGACTTTTCAGCTTGGACGGTAGATTCCGGTAGATTTGTCTGCCCAACCATGGTAGGGTTGGAACTCACTCGGAGGTTGTAGAGGCGGTGCGAGCCATCAGACCACCGAAAATCTTTCTGTTCAGGACATGGTGCACGAGTTTCACAAGAGATCGAAAGCATGCTGGAGATCAAGGACACCCTGTAGCACCTTTTAGGGTGGCGATTCATGTCCATTCACTGGAGATCCAAAGCTGACACCCAGATTCGCACAAGGACCCGTCAGTTAAACCCCAGATGGTCAATGTTAAGCTAAGCCACGGAGAAACGTTGCAGGCATCGAATCTTAGTCGGAGCCATCGATGCGAGTTGCTCCACCCCCTAAACATTTAGCCGAACCCCACGACCCGACGTCATTCCAGTTTGATCTGAAGTTCACCCAGGCGAGGCCCCAGAAATAGTACCCTTCTGGGCCTTGTGTGTATCATTGTGAAGATGAAGATCAACAGGATACTGAGGATCCGCATCAGTAAGGTGCAACCCCAAAATCGAAGATAGGTCGTATCCAGAAAGCGTAAACATCCCAGCCACTTTGGAGCTGCCATCTCCGCTTGAACTGGCCTCAACCACTAACACGGAAAGTTCAGGGTTTAGGTTTTAGGGTTTCGGGGTTTAGCCTTTCCTTCTAAACGCAACAGTTGTGAGAACAGAAAGCCGCCTCCCCGTAACCGCTTCCAGAACGACATTCTGGCGCTCACGCCGAACCGACGCTCTCGTATGCTTACCGAGGCATTGGGCTCGTTTGGAACTGTCTCTGAGGGTTGCTTTTACGGTCTTGCAGGGTTTGGAATTCGGTTGTTTCGGGGAGTTAGAGTGTGAGTTTGGAGCTTACATGCAGTGGCTACAGCTGTGCGCTGAGATGCCTGTACCCCGATTCAGACTTTCAACCTTGAGGGCTTGCGGTGATGAAAGCATTTTAGTTCGGAGCTTGTTGAACCCTCTGCATTTCAGATTGAAGGCTTCAGCAGTGGAGGGTTCAGGAGTTGTGTTTCTTTGGGTTTGAGAGCTTCCGGTCAGGCTCCACTGCTTATGACTTGGCTGCATAACTGCAGGTTTACGTGATTTTGGGGTGCAGGCATTCGGGTGTTGAAGGATGTGGCAGCGTGGGCGCAGATGTTGGTCGGACTGCAGGCGTTCAACCAGCTCATTCGCTGGTATGGCCGTGCACGTCTGGTCCCGCAGGCAGGTTTTCACTTTAGATCAAACTTTCGGGTCCTTCGAAAGCCTGTTTTGGGTTTGCGCATGCATTGCACCGTTCTATTTCGTTCAGAGTCAGAGGGCTTCGACCCAGCCGAATTCTGCACGGATATTTTACAGAGGCATCGGCGCGATTCATCGGAACAGTCCTGTTCGGCAAGTAGTCTGGCTACTCCAAAGCGCATGGGGCTTGGGCGTAGAATTATGCAGAACAAGCTCCCACGGCATAGAAAAACGAAATGGCCGTGGTAGTATATGCCATCCGGGTATCCATGCCCTCATGGAGGCCATTCGTGCTTGCGAAATCATGAATGAGCTCGGAGTTCCGCGAGCCGGGCACTCCAGTTTCTCTTGCGGTTTGCACAGTCATCATAGACAGACAGTATGCGATAGATGTAGACTTACAAGAAAGCCCTCTTGCATGCTGCGGGCCAGAGTTCGCTTCGAGCAACCATGCCTGCCAGTCAACTTCACATGCCAGCTTGTGCTTGGCTGCTCGGCTGGCCGGACACTACACGAATCATGACCGCATCTCCAGAACGACATGACCCTGCACTTCTTGAGCCGCGGCTGCGCGCAGCAGCTCCTTGACGGCAATGGCGGTTTGCTTGGTTCTTGGTGCACTTCAGAAGGATCCTCCAAGTTAGAGGTCACATTGTATGTGCGTCCATGGTTCAAGTGAACATGGGTGACGTTCAGTACTTGAACCCTCAACCGGAATTTAAGGCTTATGATAAGAAGGGTTCAAACTCCATGATGAAAGATGTGAGAAGATCCAAGCTGAAGGGAATCAAGTGCACAATGTGGACTTGTGATTTGCGAAATTACTGAGTTTGTTTGTTCATTGAAGTTTCGGAAATCCAATTCCTTCTTTGGCATCACAGAGAGTCTGAATCCACTCCAGGCCCGGATCCGCAATATCTCAGGTACAGATGTTTGAAGAAGGCTGGAAGGTGCGGGGCCGAGACGATGAGAAGAGGGTTTACTACAGGGGCCTAAATAATTACCTATTATTTTGGGGGGCTCCTTATTACAAGTATAGTATAAGGGGCCCCAAATAGTTACCTATATTATTTTGGGGGTTCCTTATTACAAGTATAGTATAAGGGGCCCCAAATAGTTACCTATATTATTTTGGGGGCTCCTTATTACAAGTATAGTATAAGGGGCCCCAAATAGTTACCTATATTATTTTGGGGGCTCCTTATTACAAGTATAGTATAAGGGGCCCCAAAACCCTATTCTAACACTAAGTTAGGGGACTCACAAATGTCTCCGATAGATTCGACGAATGTTGCACTGCGCGGCACGTACTGCAGATTGGGTAGCAGGTCTCTCACTTTGTCGAGACAGCTGGTGCACCATGCACTGCACAGCGAAAGCTTCGTTTGCAACATCGAACTCGAGGTACACGCAGGCGCCGCAGGACATGCCTGGACATCGGCCGGAGGTGCTCTTCATCGGGCGCACGAACTCGGCACCCTGCCTTGTTGCTGCACATTTCCTGTGCTCTTGCATGAAAACAACAGTAGGTCATGCTTTTGTGGCGAGTGATGTTTACTAGCCTCCATGCCGAAGTTTCCGAAAATTAGGGATACCTAGTTTGATAAGGATCCTACTATTTAGGATACTGTATTAGCGTCCCCTATTCTCGGAAACTCCCATATGAGATCCCTCCTGCCATGCCAGGGGAAGTCGTCCATGATCAATGCACTTTTCAGTTCTCTGACGAAGGCGCATTGTGCCGTCTCGTGCCACATCTGCCACATCTTCGCTTGTGCCTCGCACTTGTGCTCGAAACCGCTCAGCCGAAGTTTTCGACCCTGCAGCTTGAACCCTAAACCCGAAACCGTAGTAAACCATGAGCCGGGAAGGAACCCCCAAAGCTTTCAAGACCATGAGTTCGTGCAGTTCGCGCCCGCCTCCAAAACGCGGGCTTTCACCCGGAAGCTGCACTTCTACGAGGCCTCTTAGGGTTTCCGACTTGCTGCAGCCTTCCTTTTTAGTTTAGAGTTTGGGGTTTATGAGCTCATCTTCCTCAGACCAGTATTTCCACAAAGGTCAGATGAGTAGCCCCGACCCAACATCCCAAAGCCAAAACCCGAAACCCAACCTCCGACACCCTCTAGCACAAAGCGCATAAAGGAATATAGGACGAACTTCTAGAAGCTTGTAGGAGCCATGCTAGCACCCTTTGCCAGCCGCTTTATGCATTACATGAGGGTCCCCTACCAACTGAAACTCCCAACCCCAAACTCTGAAAGATGTAAGCCTACATGAATTTTTCTCGCCAGGTCAACAAAGAGAGAGCCGGATTACCTCACTTCATGCTCGCCTGGAGCTTAATCCAAGCTATGAAGAGCTTGTGTGGCAAAACCCAGCACACGTGGGTTGACACTGCAAAGAGGAACGAACACCGTACCTTCAAGAAATCAATCAAGCTCTGCCTCATGATTTGTCGGACTTCAAGCTGGAAACTTGCTAAGCTTCAGGTGGATTCGCCTGGTCTGGGATGCGCTGACATCCCTAATGCGGCCAAGATCACCAGGCGCCAGCATGCTATTGTTCTGGTTTTTCACCATTTGTTCATTCCTTTGCTCAGGGAGTTTCCAAACATGATCTTCGAGTACCTCCGCAATCGCAATGCATTGAAGCCCTGCCCTTATCGAATGCTCGTTTCCATGTTTTGCTGGTGCCCTGGCAACTCCCCTCCGAGTCCCAAGGAATTCTAGGCTCAGCCCTTTAAGCGCCAAGGCACATCTTCCACCTCGTGGACGCCAGAAACCACAAGCTTCTTGACATTAGGCTTTGCCAGATCGCTGCTTCTGAATCTCGTTTATGTTTCATATTAGTCCGAAACGGTGGCAGAGAAAGGCTCCTCCCTGCTGACAAGCAGTTGCTTCACCTGGTCGCGAAAGCCCAGTGTGTGTCTCAGAACCATGTTGGAGTTGGTGGGGTTGGAGGCTTTTGGAGAATCTCCAACAGACACTTGCTTTGTGCTCGGAGCATCAAGACGGTAGGACCGTAGGAGTGAGAGTGGCAGTGTAGTTGCCGTCTCAGTGGTAATCTTAAGTCGTTATGGTAACCGTCGTCGTCGTGTCAGTTGCAGTGGTTCTACTTCCCGTAGTTGTAATGATGATCGTATTCGTCGTCGTCCGTCATCGTCGTGGTCAGTGCAGAGGAAGCTAATTGATGGCATTTGTGCTCGTCGCACATCACGAGATGGCGATTTTCCCTTGCCAGGCGACGAAGTGTGAGGTACACCATTGCCCCGGCCCTCAGAAAATCCTTCCCTGCTTTGGTTTAGTTTCTGGGGCTAGGGTAGCCTGCACATGTCAAAACACAGTACAACTATGGAGTACACGCCTTTTGCAGGCAATGCAGCATGAGTTGCTTGCTTTCACGCAGTCTTTAAAGTTCTATCCAACCTTGTCTACGGAGGCGCATAGAGAAGGTTTCACTCAGCAAGCAAGCTGTCCCAGGTCATCACGAAAATTGACGTGTGCAAACGAAAGGCATGGGGCCAGACAGCTTTGAATGTTTATGGTACTTGGAGTAAGTAGGTAATAAGTGGGGTTATAAGTCCCCTAAGTGGGGTTATCCTAAGTATAACCTACTTATAACCTTACTTACTAAGTCCCATGAGCCTCCAAGTAGGCTTGTCCGCGACCTGCGCGCATTCTTGCTGTCGTGCGAATAAGTAGCGTTGCATCAAGTCCCTTGGCACTACTGGCTGACAGAGAGAAACAGAACCAGTGCAAGCAAAAGCCTTCCTCAATGAGCGCAGGTCGCCAACAGCACAGCTCAGCGCATCCGGGAGGCTGTCGGTGTGCATTCGGAGCCTTTGGAGCCCACAGCGTCAGCAGATCGCGGCTTGCAACCTTGCATTCCAACTTAAATGTCCTGTGCAAAAGGAACTGGCTCCTTATTGCGACGTGGACATCATGTTTGCCAGCGCACGGGCTCTGCGAGGCTGGCTGCTTGGTGCACTCGTTTTCTTCGCAAAGGTCCGGTGACACGTAGGAGATTCTTCGCACTTGTAAGATTGCAGGGAGAAACCGTCAGGTGTATGTGTGGGAAGGTTTGGTAGGAGCTGCAGGCGTGGATCACCTCTGGTCCAAGATCTGGCAATCTGTGACGGAGACACCACGCGGCCGGAGACACAGGGTCCGCCCCGCAAGTCTCAGGTTTCATAGAGAAGAGATCGTGAAGCGAAAACCAAGAAGTCAGCAATTGATGCTGCTCGCCAGGACATTGGCAGGAAAGAATTGGAGCGACTGAACAAAGAAGGGCCGAACGCTTTGAAAGCCTGGTCCTCGGTGCTTGTGGTATTTTTGGCACGACTGGACACCATGAAAGATTTTAGTGGCTGCAGGCTCCCAACTTGTCTGAACTGCTGGAGATCCCGGATTACCAGAGACCACAGGAAAGTGCACAGGGACAACACAAAAAAGAATGAGAGAGAGAGAGAGAGAGAGCTGACCTACGTACGACAGGTGAACGGTTTTAGATTTCGGACAAACTGCAGTCTTGATCTGGAAGTAGACGTTGTGTGATTCGGTGTATGTCACTTGTGCAGGATTTTGACGAAGAGGGTTTCGAAGAGGCGCGATGTGAATGCAACCTTGCTGGCAGCTGGGTGGTAGCACACGGTGCATATTTCTGACTAGTGCCGTCGTGTTACCAGTTGTAGCCAAAGCATAGTGGGAGCACCAATAGCAGACCCAGAGGAGAAGTAGTTGCAGTGGTAGTAGTCGTAGTAGGCGTAGTACTAGTACAGTAGTAGTAGTAGTAGTAGTAGTAGTAGTAGTAGTAGTAGTAGGAGTAGTAGTAGTAGTAGTAGTAGTGGTAGTAGTGGTAGTAGTGGTAGTAGTGGTAGTAGTGGTAGTAGTGGTAGTAGTGGTAGTAGTGGTAGTAGTGGTAGTAGTGGTAGTAGTGGTAGTAGTGGTAGTAGTGGTAGTGGTGGTAGTGGTGGCAGTGGCAGTGGCAGTGGGAGTGGCAGTGGCAGTGGTAGTGGTAGAGCGGGAGCGGGGGCGGGGGGGGGGCGGGGGGCGGGGGGCGGGGGGCGTGGGCGGTGGGCGTGGGCGGTGGGCGTTGGGCGGTGGGCGTGGGCGTGGCGGGCGTGGGAAGTGGCCGGGCGTGGGCGGTGGCCGGGCGTGGGCGCAGGCGTGGGCGTGGGGCGTGGGCGTGGTCGTGGTCGTGGTACCACTACCACCACTACCACCACTACGACCACAACCACCACTGCCACCATTGCACCACTGCTACCACTACTACCACTACTACCACTACTACCACCACCACTACCACCACCACCACCACTACCACCACTACCACCTACCACTACTACCACTACTACCACTACTACCACTACTACCACTACTACCACTACTACCACTACTACCACTACTACCACTACTACCACTACTACCACTACTACCACGACTACCACTACTACCACTACACTACTACTAACTACTACTACTACTACCACTACTACTACTACTACTACTACTACTACTACTACTACTACTACTACTACTACTACTACTACTACTACTACTACTACTACTACTATTTTTCAATTGAACGCTGCGCGAGCGTGCTCTGCGCTTTGCGGGCGCCTTTGGTCTCGTGCACTCGTGAAACTGCTTCTAGCATACATCGCTCAGGACTCTCCAATCAGCTCGAACTTGACATACTACTGCAACTGCTACTGCTACAAAAAGCTTCCTTCTCCGACACCTTGGTGTGAACAGACGCGTCCATCTGTGCACCTGTCTCAACAATTAGGCCGTACCTCAGACGAAGCCGCCACCTGGAGTATCCGTCTCGTGGCGTCCCACACGGATTACTCATGTTGAAGACAGAAGGCCGTAAGGGTCATGTGCGGATGACCGCTGGTACCTGAAGCAACTCCGGTGGCGTGAGACTTTGGGCAGCTTGGATGTGGGCAACTCGCTGAAGCGCAAAGTGCTGTTTTAAGCGAGGCTAGCACGCGGTTCACATTCTTCCGAAGAGATGTGCTAGGCGTCGGAAGAGTGCCGAATTCCCTGAGTCTGTGACATAAGGGATCATAGAGTCTGTGACATATTACCGCCCTCACTGGTCATGACCTTTTGGCCACTGCTGAGAGTAACCATGCCAGGACCACTGCTGCCACCAGTCCCAGTCGTCATCCTGAGATGAGCGTGCCTGTCTGGCCCACTGGGACGAGGAGGATGAGGAGGGGCCATCGCGCTGCCGCTTGCCCTCTGTGTCAGCCTCCTGCATCTGTGGGCGCTTGTTAGGGGCAGCAGCAGCTAGTTTGGCCATGCGCTTGTCCTCTTCGTTCCCCTAGTCATGCTGTATCCGCATCTTCATGATGGAGTAGGCATTTTTGTCGGGTTTGACCCGGAAAACACGAGCTGGGAGTCCGGCTGATTTGGCCGTCTCATTGTAGACTGCCACTATGGTGGTGGCGATCATATTGAACTCGACCCACGAGGGGAAGTGCTGCCGAAAGGCCTTTTCGTCCCACATCTTGTTGAAGCAGGCATGGATAAGGCCATGCACCTTTGTTGGTGCGTCCAGCTCACGGTAGGCGTCACCCGCGCCTGTGGCGATGGTGACCTTCCCATCGCTTGTGAGGACACGCCTCACCGACATGGCGGTGTCCCATGTGAGGCCGGTTTGCGTCCTTACGGACTTGATGGCAGAGAACAGCGGCGGAACTTCTCGGAGTGCTTCCATCCTGGTAGACCAAAGGGTCTGTTGTTCCTGGTTGGTGAGGCCGCCAAGAATGACCGGAGCCACCAGGATGTTGATGGAAGCCAAGGCCCGAATCCAGTCCTGATGGGACTGGGAGCTCAGCAGCTGAGCCAGCTCCTGCCGCGTGTAACGTACTGTCAGCCGTGGAGCCGGCTGTGGGACATAGCCGACGAGTTCCGCATTGGATTCCGGAGGCTCATATGCTGACGGGGGACGGGAAGAGGGAGGAGGGGGCGTGTGGGAGCGCGGAGCGGCCTGGGTGGCGGGGGTTGGGGGAGAGACGGACTTGGGGGGGGGAACTGGAATCGCCGGTGGGGGAGCTGGTGCTGCCGAGGAAGAAGAGGGCGGGGGGCACTGGGTGGCCACCATGGGCGGTGGGGCCTTAACCGGAAGCGCCGGGGCCGCCTTCGGTGTCTCTGCTTGGCCTGCTTTGAAAGCCGCCTTTTCAGCTGCTGAGGAAGTGAAAGGGCACGGGGGGGAGGGTGGCGGCTCGAAGCCGGCTGCTTTGTCTATACCTTTGGTCCTGGTACTGCTGGGGGGAAGAGGAATTTCCTGTGGAAGCTTGGGGGGAGGAGGAGGGGGAGGAGTGTGGGGGTCCGGCGTGGCACTGAGTGCCGGGTTGTGCTTCTGAGTGACAAAGTGGTTCTTAAGGCCGTGGCTAGTGCTGAATTGCACCTGCCTGTTGTGCTTCCGGCAGTGCAAGCAGCATAACCACATGTCCCCCGAAACTTTCACTTGCCCTAATCCTCGAGGGATAAGCTCCAGCACATCCTGCTCTGTAAGGTCTTGGTTGTAGTGGTGGGTTTCACGGACCGTAGCCATGATCTCTGCAAAGGAGTTGTACTGGATGCTGTCGGCCACATAGGCTTCAATATCCTCCTGAGTGGGAGGAGGGGGAGCCGATGAGGCGGTTGCCATGGTCTGTGACCTAGGTGGCTGTGGTGAGCTGTGCTCTTCAGGTCTGTCAGACTGGATTTCAAGGGAGATGTCAGGGAGTTGGCTCTGCAGCATGCGGTCTGTGCGTTCTTTGGTGGTTGGGTCTCCCTGAAATCCCTTCAGCCACTTCCAGCACCGGGTATATGCAACGGTCGTGTTGTTGGTAGTCACGAAATAGTGGCCATCATTGTCGTACTTCTTGTTCTTCACTCGCTTGTCCCAGCGCTCCGAGAACAGGTAGATGGGGCCAAATTTGGTGGAAACATTCCATCCCGGCTGAGGGGAGTGACCAAGGTCACGACCCAAGATCTGCCAAAGATATTTGCAGAAGGTCATGTATTCCAAGTTTGCCTTCGCTGTCATAACCTGACGGCTGAAGGCGTGCTGTATGGCTTCCCTCATCAAGGGGTGTCTGGGCTTGCCATAGATGATGCCTTGAAAAATATGATCTCCTTTGACTCCTATGGCCATGACCATGAACTCCTGTGGGAGTTGGCCAGGTGGGGAGGGTCTGTGACCCACTTCACCTGCCTTCTTTGAGTGAGCTGTGCTCCAATCTGCTGCGAGATACGCGAGTACCTGTTCCCAAGGTACCACGAAGCCACATTTGATGTCGACGTAGAGGCCGCCGTGCTGGTAGTGGTAGACGTAGCGGAACACGTCTGCTCGATGAGCAGGTTGGCTGAGGCGATCTAGCAGATTGGAGCCGTACTTTCCTGCGAGTTGCCGCAGGGTAGCCCGAAGAACATCATCATCACAGAATCTGCGGGTGAAGCCAGCAAACATTTTGGCCGCAACTTGGGCCGGTTCCGGCTTTTCGTCGTGAACGTAGGTCTGGAAGAGGAGGGCCGGGACAGGGGCGGCTTCCCATTCTGGGAGATGTGTGAAGCGCATTCCCCAGGGGCCATGTCCGTATTGCATGGCTACCTCCGAAAGATCACGGACAGTTCGGCATTGTGACAGAGCCTGGGCAGCGAGCATTTCGACATGCATGTCCTGCTCGCGAGCGTTCCAACCAGCTACCACGAGGACAGGCAGTCCTGGGGTGTTGCGCATTTCCTCGATGGCTCTGGTTACAAGCGCCGGGATGACAATGTCCGCGACGTCGGGGCGGAAATGGAGATTCTTGGAGTTGTAGAGCCATTCTACCCCTCCTACACCAGGCATCTGGGCCAGGTCCATGATTTCCTGGTTGTGCAGGTTCTTGTCCGCAAATCCATATTGGACCCTGCCATCGATCAGGTAGTCATAATTGATTTGCTTCTCCGGGCGCAGGCTTCGGGACAGCGGAATGAAGCGAACGTTGATTTGTCCGTCGAGGTGGTTCTCCAAGATGGAGGCCACCGGCGGACTCTGCACTGCCGCTGTGAATTTGTGCGGCCCAAAGAGCCCAAATTGCCAGTGGAGGAGCTCCAAGATGGAGGGGACGCTGCCGGCAGAGATGTTGAGGGCGGCGCCTGGACAGCTTAAGACCTGTCCCGTCAGCAGCGGGAACACTCCGTAAGTGTGTCCCCGCAGCATGTGCTGCAAGGTGCTATCGCTGAGCACCAGAAAGGGACCCAGACTGGGAGGTTTGTCCATGGTCTCAGCTGTAGCTGATGGGCCAGAGTCTGTGACACGCGGCCAAGTGGTGAGCTGTGCTCTTCGCAAAGACGCAGTTTGTTACGAAATTTAGCTTCTGCAAGGCGTGTCTGTAAGGCATGTTGCGATACTCCTGCCGCTGTTTCCGGTAGCAACAGTTCGATCTGACAGCTGCGGTATACATGTAATGCTTTGCAGAGTCTCAAGACCAAGCACGAAGCTCAAGCAACGCAGGACGACTATAGGCAAAGAACACCAGCAGAGGGCACTCGGGCTGGATAGCTGGTGCCGTGTGGTAGCTGAGACCTCAGATCGCAGGAAAGAGCAAACGATGATGCAAGTAGCTGAGTGTTGGCATGCTGCAACGTCGATTTCTCTGGGCAGGTGGGCCACTCAACT